TCCGCATACAAGACGGACAACAACTTCTTGGATGATTCCTGCCTTAGATAGCAGGGCAAGAATTCATGCAACAAAAGCCGATAGGCAACTCACCCACCGCTATTTCAATACTTTGGTTACACATCTAGTCACAAAGGGCAGATCTGGCAGATGAGCGAACAAGGAACCATTCATCGATCTGAACACCCCCGTCCGGCGGGACATAGCAACAGAGTAACAGCTACAGCTGCAGTGAATTCGTAGACTCGCGCAAACAACTAAACCTGGAAAGTTCAACGAGATACGCAGCCAAAGAGATAATGTGCAGTTGGAGCTGAGCCTGGATCGCAAGCACATCCAAAACATGGAAGCCATTGTCCCCGGTCTTCTTAGTCCCGAAGTCTGCAGCCGAGCAAGCCGTGTAGATGGTTTGGAAAAACGGAAGCTGCGGTTGAATCGTAGTCGCCGAAGCACTTGAGTCTACTGCTTCGGCTTGGTGTGTCCCTTGCGGGATCGATCCCGCAGAAACCTCTTCCTTGATTTCTGCTTCTACACTGCCGCCTTCCATCAAGAGGCTCTTGGCATTCTTCCAAAACGACTTGGTGATGACCGATGAAGGTGGAGGCAGCAGCTTGCTTGCTAACACGTGCTCTGGACACGGTGCACCTTCCTTCTCATTGTCACGATCCTTTTGCTCCGTGGTCCGCAGCATTTTGCGCCGCGTTGTCAAGGCCCGTTCGAACACTTGGATCCACATCGCAGCCCACGTGTTGACACCGTCCATATTCTGGTTTTGCATCAGGAATCGTGTCTCCAACTCCATTATATATTCTTGCCCGTCCTTGCACAAATGCAAAATGATGTCGTAGAGAGCCCGCACGGAGTTGGGACCCAAATCCTCGAATTCAACCAAAACCGGCTCTTTTGATCCCGACCCCTTGTCCCTGGCATCTGTTCGAGTGTCTGGAATGACCATCATGACCTTCATGCACGTCAACATATACTTCGCTCGAGAAGTAATGAGGGTGGCAATGATGCTGTCATTCAAGGTCACAACCTCCCCGTGGTTGGAAGCCTCCTTCTTCGACACCAAAAAGCTGGCATCTTTTCCAATCTCTGCCAGGATCTCTTCCTGCCAACTGGAATCTGTTGACTACACACATATAACCTAGCCACGAAAGCCACAGGCTCCAATTTTGCAACTCAACTCAACACGCTAGTTCACGAGTCCTGACTCTGGCTCGCAGTTGAGTCGGCCGCTTTATCCTGCGACTCTTGTGCCTTTGCTGCTTCATCGTGCACCTGTGCCAGCTTGGATGCCACGACCATCGCAGCCGCCCCAAGCGATGGCACGGAATCATCAATGACCGCCTCAGTCTCCATCAATTTGGTAAAATGCCAAACCATATCCTGCACCGTGTGCAGAGAATCGTGAAAGTCACACTTCAAGTTGGGGTTCCAATCGTCCTTTGTCCGTGGGCAAGTGCAGAAGCCAGCTCGAACCTTACTCAAGCACGCAGCGAAAGCGGGGTGCTTCGAGACCTCCGGCGAGCTGTTGGTCACAAGGAAATCCTTGCACAGCTGACAGCTGCGCTTGTCATGCAGAATTTGCTTGACTGAGTCTGGCTGAACGACCTGGGACGGCGCGCCAGTCAACCGTCCAGCTGATCCCGAGCTCACCTCTGACATCATTTTCTGCAAAACCTGCTGCATGTCGAGTCCACTAGACAAGGTCTGCTGCTGCTGGCTTTCCGTGAGGGCAGCCACGAACATGTTCTGCAAAGCCGGACGGACCTGAGGATGAGGTTGGGAACTCACAAGGCAAGGACCAACAAACACAAAGCCAAACACACACATGCAGGGACATGGACCAATACATTGACACAGTGGCCTGTGACCACACCTTGAGCGGCTTTTTGCGGAGCACCACCGTGCCGGAGCAAGCGAACTCCAACCCGAGGGAAAGGACTACCGCTCGCATTGTCTTTGTGGCTGGCGAATTCTTGAACAAGGCATAGGGGCCTGTCAGGCACCTTTCGACAGCACTCAGCAAGTCGTCCAACCACAGCCTTTGTCGAGAGCCCTGCCCGTGTCCCTCTGCATCCGTCTCCTTAGCACCGCCCTTAGCGCTCTGCGCCTGGTCCTGCTCACTACAGCCTACTTCTGCCACGTTGAAGTCGATGCAACCTTGCAGGTCCTGTGTGGTCTCTGCATCGAACTGCAATGCCTGCGCTTTCGCTTTGGCTTTCGATTTGGCCTTGGCCTTTCGGGCCGCCTTTTTTGGAGCTGCGTCAGTCGAGAGGTCTGGCACATGCGCTCGCTTCTTCTTGTCACTCGTACCCGTGCTTGCACCAGCCGCCGCACTGGCTTTCTGGGTGACTTTACGAATGAAAATGGCTCCTTGTATCGGGCAGCTCAACCTCTGATGCGCATGGACGTACACGGCGGATTCTGGCGTCTTGCCGAAGAGGAACGGCGGTCGTCTCCCTCCGGTGGAGGAGTCAACCGGCAACAATGGGACCTTGCAGCTTCACATGTTGAAACGAAAACAGTTGCAAAACACAGCATGAACATGAGAGTGTGCACACACGCACCACAAACCATGATCTGGGAGTCCACACGCAAAATTTGCAAAGTTCAAAGAGCACTGCCCCCAGAAGTTCTGTTGATTGTCCGGCGAAACGGTTTTCCAGGAATACAGCATGACCATTCATCGTGGAAAGAACGGTCTCTGCCTTTGGCATATCTGTATTCATAAAGTCTGCAAACTCCCCCATGAATGATTCGAACTCGCTCAGAATGGAGAAGCTTGCCAATTTGTTCCTCAAAGCCCTCGAGGTTTTGAAGCTTGCGGTGCTGTACCTCTCCTCGACAGGAATGCAGGCCAACAAGTGCGTTTGCATCAAGACATTATCCGAACTTATATAGGAGGTCCTTGTACTCCGAGGCATTCAGCCACGAGTTGAACTGCTCATGATAGTTGCTGTTGCGACTGGTAATGCTGCTTCTGTCGGCGAAAGCACGCCATGCCTGCTCGGATTTCGGATTTGCCCATCAACCAGCAGCCTATCAAGTAACTTATCAACAGCAGGCTGCATGCCTAGCCAGCCCTCCAAACAAGCAGCCTCATCAACTTCACACACACCAGAAATCATCTCGATGAAGTTGATGGCCCCACCACCATGAAATTGATTGTTGACATCCTTGAGGTACCTTACATCAGCACTGCAGTCTCAACAACTTGACTGTAGCAACCAACCCTCACGCACTCGCGCACGCAGTAACTTCACTCATATACAAGGACAGAAAGCTGAGTGGGACACGTGATGACATCGGGGGGTGTGCGGGCATTAAAGACCCGTGCCCGCAGACCATTCGCCCGCGTGGCCTGGACCTGCGGGTGATCGCCGTACTCTTCGTCGCAATCATAGAATGCCTCACTCCTGCCCAGAACTGCCCACGCACCGCATCAATCAAGCAGGAACACAACCACGACCGCCGGACAGGAAATATGCCAACACAAGCCGACTCAGCCCCAGACAAGGTCCCAAATGTAATCGCTTGATACGGCATGCCAGGAGCACTGGGTTCGATGACCCAGCACTCGCCTCTGCACCCCTCAAGAATGCCGTATGCCAATATCGATCGTTTGTAGGATGCTCTCACCGAAAGTTGCTTCCGTTGATTTAGTGAATGTCTCACGATGTTGCGCGAGCCATCACTTTGATAGAAGTCCAGCTTCACCAAACCGCCGTCTTGGCACTGCTGCACCTGCGACATGACACGCTTAAGTTCTAGAGCACGGCACACATGTTCATGGATATGCTGCATCAGCAGAAGCCAACATGCACGGAGCGGTGTCTTTCAAGGCGCCTGATACATCTTCCATATTTTGTCTTGTAGTTCGCGACCTTTTATATTCCCGAATCTCTCCGATAGGGATCGCTGACCCCACAAGGCGTCCGATGCCGCTTGCACGTTCATGCCGGCGCCGCTCATGCCGCAATCTGAAATTCCAGGTCTGAGAGTATGGTTGTCCTGAACTCACTATCGCCGTCACTACCATTCTGGCTTCCGATTTCGAACTGAGTCTATGCGAAACTGGAACATCCGACGCAGTCCTTGACACAAGCAACTGCCCAGTCCGTCGCGAAAGGCCGCAAAGGATCAAAGCTGGATGCTCACGCTGCGGTAGGCACTTGGCATGGACGGCATGGATGCGTGCGGCAGGCTTCAGGCCATGACCATTGTAAGGCGAAGTTTCATCTCAACACCGTCCGAACTGTTTTTTGCAGCGTCACCCACCGTCAGCATCGAAGCTTGCAAATTTCCGGAACTCAAAAACGGTCACCATGATACACCGCGTGCATCGCAACTGTGGACTCTGCGCTGACTCTGACTCTGCTTTAGTTGCACTAAGGACAACAATACATGATGTTGATGCTCCTGCTGAAGTTGATGATGACGACGATGATGAAACATATATAGGATGAGTCTAATCTTCGTCTAGAAATCTAGGCTAAGAGGGTTGCTTCACGCAATGCCGCAATGCTGTATCATGATTCCCACTGTGCATTCAGACGCCTTGCCAAATTAGCAAGTGTCGACGTCAAGGCCTTGGGAGTTTGCACCGGGACTTCCAAACAAGCGAAGAGAATTGCCACTGCACAGTTCATGCAGTGCATGCTATTTCCCGCCTGTCCAATCCTAGCTGTGCGGGACTCTGGCAACTTCCGATCAGGCACTGCGAAACTGCACAGGGCGACTCCCTGACTCAAGTCTGTCTTCACGGGGAATGACTGCGCAAGCAGGGCTTCGGAAGCCAGAAGCCACCTCCCATGTGCATCTGACCTTAGGTATGCAACATAACAACTTCACAACTTCTCTGGAACCATAGACAATAGACATAACAACAGCACAGGAGCCACACAACCTTGCCACAACCTGACTGACCTGCAACTTGAAGGTTGCAAAACTACAACACTCGACAAAAAAAGAACTCAAAACAAATCAACCAACAGCTAACAAGCTCGAGTGCGGACAGCACACCAAAGAACTCCGGAATTCTTGATCAGGGTCTGGAGGTGGGAAGCATGACTGGACGTGAAAGAAAATGACGGATCCTGGTTGAGGGCATAGACATTGTTTGGCCTCTCTGTCCTGTAGTGCAACAGAAACTCAAACTCTGACGCGGTCAGGGATTCGACGAAGGCCCTTCGCACTGCTTCTGGATTCGTTTCGCATGCGCTTGCAAAGTGAGCCAGGTCTGGGAAAGGGCAACCATCCTCATGCAAACGGCTGTCCGGCCGTCCGCATGCCCAGCAAAGCTCCTCGTAGATCTCGTCCAAGTCTGCAGCAAAGTACATGTCCCATGCTGGCACTGCCGAGTCACCTGGGATTCGGTGATCTTGGAACATTTTCACAAAGATATTCCAAGGCGTCGTCCATGCTTTCGTCTTGTACTTGTGGCGAAGAATCGACCACTTGCGGGGCCTCGAGATTGCAAAGCCGTAGTCCTTTGGAGACATCATGGCATACTCGATGTGGTAGACGTGTCCAAGGATGCGCACCATCTCGTCAGAAGCAAAGTTCTCCACATTTTCCTGGATCAGCACTGCCTCCTGAAGGTCCAACCTCATGCTGCACCAGCACAAAAAGTACTGGTAAGTTGGCCCGCGGATGCCAGCCATCTTTCCACGGATCGATGCATCCGTGCACGGCGTGCCAGCCACATGCAACCGGCACGAGGGCACCTGCTAGGAAGTGAAGTGCCGCTGACTTGCCCTCAACACACACGCAGCACATGCATACATGGGCACATATGTATGTACATACAGACACCAGTACACATATATATACATACATACATACATACATACATACATACATACACATACATACATACACATACATACATACATACATACATACATACATACATACATACATACACGCAGACATACACGCAGACATACACGCAGACATACATGCATGCCATGCATGCATGCATACATACACACATAACTACATGCATCCTCCCCTCCCCTCCCCTTTCCCTTCCCTTCCCTCTCCTCCCCTCCCCCTCCCGCCCTGGCCCCCGCCCAATCCCCATTCCCCTAAAAGAACTGGCCCTATAGACAAACTGCGATCCGAGGCACAATAAGATCTGAGCGATTGGGTGTTCTTTTGATGAGCTTAACAGGACCTAAATGAACACCTAAAAGAACGGGCCCTGTAGTCCAACACATATCTGCCATATATGCATATCGGCGATTCGAGACACAATAAGTCACAATAAGATCTGAGCGATTGGGCTTCAAACCGCGCGTTCTTTTGATGAGCTTAAGTGGACCTAAAAGAATACCTAAAAGAACGGGGTCGGGGTCTGTAGTCGAACACATATCTACTATATATGCACACTGAGCTTCAAGCCGTCTGTTTTATTGAACGCTTAGTATGGACCTAAAAGAACTGGCCCCAAATCAAGCTGACGTTGATGATGCTCCTTCGCCTGCCCCGAAAGAACCCCCATAGGCACAAAAGCTTTAAGCCTCCAACGAAACCGCCGATACCCAAGTCGGAAACCCGAAACCCCTCTCTGCCTCTCTCCTTCATCTATGTCTTAGCCCCTGTCTCTCTCTGTCTCTGTCACCCACCCACACACAGCCAGCAAGCAGGAGAGGACAGAAATAGTGAAGGAGTCGGAAACGAAAACGGACAAGAAACTACACCACACCTATGTTATCGGCCCTTCCGCCCGACCTCGCACTTCTGGTTGTGCACCAAGCACCATCCTGTACGGGTGGTAGCCTGTCGCTGCTTCATCAGCGGCAGCAACACATTGTTCACAGCATCTTCACATTCCAAAAGCTGAGACATGCGGATGGCGGTGGAGGTGTTCCAGAATTGTGTGATGTCTCCAAAGACACACCCTGGACTGTGGGGGTGTGCCTTCAACTCCTGCTGTGCATGGTGTGTCCACTCGATCGCAAAAGCATTGCGAGGTCGTGGTATGTGTTCCGCTGACATCGATAGCTCTTCACAAAGCCCTAGCCCCAACATCAAGAATGATGTGCACGGTGCGTCCACCCCTGAGAAGCTAGAGCTCATAGATATCTCGTTCATGCTTTGCAGCGCAGCTGTCATCGATTCAATGTCGTTGTCGGAGACTGCCGTTGTTTCTGAAACGGAAAGCCCTTGGCAGCCATGACTCTGGACCATCTCCCCGACAACCTGCATCTGCAAGCCTTCATCCAGAGGAGCATGTTGCACACTCCTACGAAAATGGAGCCAAGCCCTCCACATCCAGCGGCGCCAGCTGAACAGTCTGTCAAGCAGAGGCATGCGCTCGCTGTTCCGTCTGAGCCACACATCTGGGCCCAGGTTGCAAGACTCCGGCTCGACAGTTTCGAGCATGTCTGAATGCGCACGTTTCTTCGGCTTTGATGCTGTCTTCACAGCAGTCCTGCTTCTGGCTAAAATCTTGGGCGACGTCTTAGCACGCAACCTATTGGAGACAACCACAGAAGAATCAGAACCATGGCGGTGCTCGTCGAGCATGTCTGAAGTATGCAGTCGCAATTGAATATTGCTGGAAATTGCATTCTTAACAAGACTGCCTGGACTGTTGTTGATGCCAAAAGTTTCTGCACCAAACGTTTGATCATCCTTGCCTGCATGGTATGCACAGCCGTGTACTGCACAACACATGACGCAACTTATCAAAGCAACACTTGTCGGGAATACCTCCCGCACCCATGTTGCTCCATCCACTGCCTGCGCAGCAGCTTGATGAGGGTTCTCAGTTAATGTGATTGTCTAAAACTTATCAAACCAAAGAACTCAAGACGAGTAAGGTTTTCATAATAGTTGTGTGTTTCTAATATAATGGCTAGACTCTAGTGGGCACGGCTTTGTGTGACTGCTTGGGATGTGGACAAACTCCGTCCACGGGGGCCTGGCGTGGAGGGACTCCGTCCACGGGCCTGGGGCCTGTGGACGGACTCCGTCCACGGGGCCTGGGGCGTGGACGGATTCCGTCCACGGGGCTTGGGGCCTGTGGACGGACTCCGTCCACGGGGTCTGGGGCGTGGACGGACTCCGTCCACGGGGCTTGGGGCCTGTGGACGGACTCCGTCCACGGGGCCTGGGGCGTCCACGGACTCCGTCCACGGGGCTTGGGGCCTGTGGACGGACTCCCTCCACGGGGTCTGGGGCGTGGATGGACTCCGTCCACGGGGCTTGGGGCCTGTGGACGGACTCCGTCCACGGGGCCTGGGGCGTGGACGGACTCCGTCCACGGGGCTTGGGGCCTGTGGACGGACTCCGTCCACGGGGGTCTGGGGCGTGGACGGACTCCGTCCACGGACTTGGGGCCTGTGGACGGACTCCGTCCACGGGGGTCTGGGGCGTGGACGGACTCCATCCACAGGTTCTGGGTGTGGACGGACTCCGTCCACGGGGTCTTGGGGCGTGGACGGATTCCGTCCACGGGGCTTAGGGCCTGTGGACGGACTCCGTCCACGGGGGTTAAGGGCGTGGACGGACTCCGTCCCCGCACCTTGGCGTGTGCGGACGGACTCCGTCCACGGGGTCTGGGGCATGGGGTGTGGACGGACTCCGTCCACATAGCCTGGGGCGTAGACGGACTCTGTCGACGGACCCGTTCCCGGGGCGGGGCATGTGGTATGCAAGGTGATGTGTGGTTTGATTATACGTGCAAATCAAAACCCAACTCATACCACCAACCTTGAGTTGTAAACATAAATCAGTCAGTCCCAGAAAATATTTACTCTATTATACTATCATACTACTATAACTTAAATGATCAACATCCTTGATGATACATGTTTCACCAGCATAGACAATTGCACTTGCTGTGCCACAGCTGCTTCCTATGGTCTGATACCTACAACGACAAAAGCCTTGAAACTCCTGCGACAACTAGCGGAGAGAGACAGAGAGACAGAGAGACTGTGAAAAAGAGAGAGAGCGAGAGAGAGAGAGATAGAGAGGGAGAAAAAGAGAGAGGGGAGAGATAGTGCGAGAGCAAGCAAGAGAGAAAGATAGAGAGAGAGAGAGATAGAGAGAGAGAGAGATTGTGGGAGATAGAGAGAGATAGAGAGAGAAATAGCGAGTGGGACGGAGAGCGAGACAGAAGGTGTGTGTGTATATATATATATATATATATGTATGTATGTGTATATATATATATATACACATACATACATACATATATATATATAGATGTATTATATGTGTATATATATATATATGTATCTTCATATATTTTTCATGTTTGTATATAAAGGTATCTTCATGTAAAGATATATATATATATATATATATAATACATATTACATATACATGTACTTATGGTAAGGGAGACGGCAAGAAAACCCCATAAATCCAACGACCGTTGTGCTGGGCTTGCCTTGACATTGATTTCGATGCCACACAACCTGCGACAGGAAATAATAATCACGCGCTGGGTTGCCAAAGCCACTGTCTCGGTTGTTACTCTTACATGTCGCCACACAGACGGTCACCAGTTGGAAGGAAGTAGAACCCCAAAACCGGAAACTACGGGAAAGCAACCGTAGACGCAGGCCTCATCACTCCAGAACATGAAGAAGAGATCTTCGCGGTCTTCTTCATGTTAGGTCAGCCTGGGCCGGCGAGCGATGATCACAAGCAAATTTAACATCAGTAGAAGAATCGATGGTTCTAGGTATGGTTTGCGCCTACATCAAGATTCAAGCACTCAAGCACTGCAAGCAGGCACTCGGCATGCTGAGTCTGCTTTTTGCAAGTCCATGCAATTCCGGATTTCAAAAAACGCAGAAGCTGGCAGTGAAATCCACTACCGCAGCTGCACCTGGATGCCCCGTGTTGCCTTTTGCGCTTTAAGCGCTGACTGAATGTGCTTCTTGAACTCGATAACCCATCATACTTTCATGGCCCCACAGGCTACATCTGCATCCGAAGTCTAAGTCTCATTCTCTGGCACACCGTCTGGCACACCTTTGCCGCGACCCTTCACCTTCGCTGCTGCCTTGGCTGCGGCCTTGGCTTTGCCGGCTCTGCTCTTTGCCTTTGGTTGCGGCACCATTGCTGCTGGCATCGGCATAGTCATCACGCGGCGGTAGATCTGGGTTGCACGACAGGATTGGGGCTTGGGCTTGGGCTGGACGGTTGGGCCTCGGGCTGGAACTGTTTATTTGGGTTTCAGGCTTTCAGGCTTCAGGGGATTAGGATGCACAACTGCACACAGAAAAATCAGAATTTGGAGTGAGAGGGTCCCGGTGGGGTTCTGTAAAGGCTCCTTACAACCTTATTCGACTGCATATCATCCAAGCAACAGCTTCGACGTTGTCACGAAGGCAGTTGTGCTCGATGACGGCCCAACGTCTGAACTCGCGGTAGTCATCATAGAAAAACTGCAAGTCAACATTCTGTGGGCCGCGGGGGGGCGGAACCGGTGGCGGAGCCGCAGCTGTAGCCTTTGCCTTCGGCACGGAACTTGATGCCTTAGCCCTTGCGCTCCTTGTCCTTGTCCTCGTTCGCCGTGGTGGGTCTGTCTCTCTCTCAGATGAGCTTGATCTGGAGAGATACGGGGCCGCTTCCGGAGACTCGCCGAAGATGTCATCGATTCGCTCAAGCTCCGTATCACTGCTCGATCCACCTGGGCCCCTGGGTGTCCGAGGCAAAGGGTCCACCCTCACCGGCGTCGGAGGTGGTGGGCCCGCCCGCCGGAAGGAGTGCGACCCTGATCGATCGGCCATTGCAACCACAACACCGAAGACTCCCAAGGGCTGCTTTGCTTCCGCACTCGACCCAAAGTCTGCAAACACTGTTCCATGTTCAATGGCTCAATGCAAAGACTCGACTCAATGGCTTGCAGTGATGCTGGCTGCACTACACATTAACTTCCCTCACAGGCACATCACTTCACCTGCCAAAACATAACGATACACGCTGGGCTTCCAGCCTCACAGTCTCCAGCAAGGAAGAGCAAAGAGGGCACAAGGCGGCAGTCCTTCGGCACCCGGATTGTAATGCACGAGTTCACTGACAAACTCTTATGAATCTGCGAAGCACTTGAATAGACAGCTCAGCAGCCAACATGATTCTTAGTAGCACTTGAATGGACAGCTCAGCAGCCAGCATGGTTCAAAGTTCGCATCCATGCACAACATGATGTGACAAAATGCCCGTCCTGGCAGAAACTGATGATGATGCCGATGATTCTGACGATGATGCGAACTTCCGCATCCAGGCCGGGAGCGCTTGCAAACTCTCTTCGTATCTACCCACTTGCAAATGCGAGCTGTCTGCATTCACTGCAACTTGCAAAGAATTTGCACAAGCATCATGCCAGAAGAGCATGCACAAAGCACACGGACTCCCTTGGCAGGGAGTTCTGCACTTACAGCATTTGCCTGCATCTCCACAAGCATGTGCAGCCTGAGCAGTTTTGGCCGGGAAGAGGCCAAGCCGTCAAACCTACTTACGAGTTCCTATGGGTTCAAGGCAAGGGCCAAAGATTGCAAATTTTGCCGTTGCTTCAGGAACGGGTCAGTTGAACTCGGGGTCAGAAATTTAGTTGTGGCTTTGTTTGGTTTTCGAGCCGCTACCAGAACAACCTTCCAACACTCATCCAAGAATCGTCGCCGTTGGCATATCTCATCAGCAACCGTGCAAAAGCCAAGAAACGCTTTACTGGCTCAGGGAAACCATCTCGCAGTGACCCTCTGTATTTGCGTGACTGGGCACCAGTGGCATGGATAAGGTCTGAAAACCTGTTTGCTGGCCAGTGCTCAGATATCACAGCTACACCAAACATTGTTGCAGGAGCCCAAACCACTCGATCCTGCGAATCCAACCTGCAAGAACGCCCAAGCCTGTTTCCAGCATCAGTCCAACGAACGCAGACCAACTCAAGCGAATTGCCCCCGCCCGCATGCTCATCCGCCTCCTCAAGAATACTTCCCTGCTGGAGTTCAGCAGGCAGACTCACCAAGAAGCTAACCTCGTCATTGTGAGCAATACCTAGCCTGCAACGGCTGAGTCGATCAACCAGCGATTCCAATGTCTTCGTTGTCGCTTTCTTCCACTGTTCATAAGCTCTGGGGGGAGCAAACGAACTGGACGAAGAGGCCGCGTCCGCAAGAACACCAGCTCTGGCCATTTTGCCCTCCTCATGTTGATCTTCATTATCATCGTCATCCTTCCACTGGTCAGCCAGCAATCGTTGCAGGAACATCTCGTCATCTTCCAAACACTGGTGATCCTTCTTTGCAGCCTTAGCGGTTGCTGGCCCTTTCTTGCCTTTCTGCTTTCGACCACCTTGCCAGAGGCTGTCTGCCACTGCCGTCTTAGCAGCCTTCTTCGGTTGTGCTTCACTTGATTCTGCACCTGTCTTGCCGGCATTCAGTTCACGAATAACAAGCAACAACGCCTCCTCCTCGAGTTCATCTGGTGTCAAGACAATGTTCGATTTACCGTATATCTCTTGAACCTTTGCCACTGCTTCGTCGAGCACATCAGCTTGCACTGCATCCACAGTAGACTGATGTCTCTTGATGTTGCCAGCATTCATTGCAGCCACCACAGAAGTTCCTAGCTCCTCGTCCATCTCTTTTGCAAGCAACGTTGACTGCTCAACATCATCGCTGAATCCATAACCAGATAGCAACAGGCCCTCATCGCTGCCGCCGTCGCCGATATCATCATTGGCTCCGCCTTCCATTTCCGCAGTCTCCGCCGGCCTATCCTCCACTACAGCCGGTCCAACATCGCTGGCGCTCGCTGCGATGGACCCCTTCGAGTCCTTCGACTTCTTGATGACTGCAGCAATCGCAGCTTCACCCAGGAAAGCATTATCCAGAGACAGTGGCGAAAGCGACGCCAATGAATCGGCGGTGTTGACCGTCTCCTTCGAATCTAGCAATGTGAGAGCTTGGCCACGCAAATGCACAGCACTGAAGCACAATGCTTCGACCGTTTCTGGTGCCTGTGCATCGAAGCACTGATTCCGCCACCCCACGAGCAACTCCACTGAAGTGAAAATCTCCGTGTCTTCGCTGAGCGTCAGCGATCCATCTGATCGTGCATTGAGTTGTCGCAAGAACATCATGCTACGATAGCTGCCCACATGGAGAAGCCAGAAACGTTGATCCCGGTTGGAGGCAGGCCGCAGGCAAACAATCACAAGCGATCCCGGCTGCAACGGGGCGTAGGCCTGGAACCAGGAATTTCTAATCAACCCGTTCTCGCTGAGTAGACGAGACTAGACTAGACCTGCGCTGGAATAAAATGATAACTAACTTAGTTAACTGATATCCCGCTATTCCAATCCATGTTGACAACAACTTAGTATAGTTCCGGAGAACTACCGCCTGCCGCCGCCCTGAAAGCGTGGCCTGGAGTCTTTTTGATTCTCGTCTCGCTGCATCCACAGCTTTCTTCAGATCCCTCGCTTGCGAAGTCGCCCACCGTTTGTGCGAGTCCTGCTTGAGGTCTGGCAACGCTTTGGTGATGTCTGTGTTTCGAAGCGCATCATCCAAGCAAGCCATGCTGGTGCGAGTAGGCTGAGCAAAACGACCCTCCTCTCTCAAGATGGACTGGAACGTGGTGCCTGCTGCAGTTAGCTCCAACAACAATGGTTTGGCAAGCTTCAACACATTGGACCATCGCTTGGCGGCTGCACCTGCTTCGCCAAGCTCACCCTTGGCCGCCTTTTTGACAACGATCCTTGCTGACATTGTTTGCAAATCTATGCTTGGGCATCTTTCTCCGACCAAACGTATGATCGAGTTTATCGACTCGACAAGTTGAGTGTCGCCTTTCAACAATTCTGCCATCGTCGAAACGATGCCGTAAAGCACTGGGTTTTGCATATCGAACTTGCCTTCGCTCGCCACATACTCAAGCTCGCTTCGGCAGCGGGACTTGAGCTTCCGACAGTTTGCTTCGAGGTCTGCGTCTGGTGTGTCGAGAAGTTCCTTTGCCACTCGCTGGCGACGCGAGCAACGTACAGTAGGAGCACTGGCCAACAGCAAAAAAAGCTTGAAGGGCCACCTTAAGGACTCTGATTTTTTAAGTCTTCGCTTGGGCGTTGGGTCGTGCGGCTTTCGAATTATTTGACGGCGTGAGGATGTTAACGGTGTTAAGGTTGAGTGTTAAGGTCTTAAGGTTTAGGGCTTCGGCTTAAGGCAGGTTTGAGGTTGGCGGTTCGGCATTTTTAGGAGCAAGTCGGGCCTTTGCACATGCATCCCAATACGCATGTGGAAACTGCCTGACGCATGTACCAACAGCTTGAAGCTCAGCGTGCGCAGCAGAGTCATGATGTCTCGAGGCACGTCGTGCGCTCTAGCCTCCTGAACCGTCTCAGCAAACCAAGTATCGAACGTTTGTAGCAGCTGATCGAACTCGAGCTGAAACTCGGCTGCCTTGTGTGTCACGAGCTGCTGGATCATCCGGTCATTGGAAGCTTTCCTGTTCAATACATGCTCAACAATTCAGTTCAAGGCGAAGTTTAGGAGCACTTAGAGAAACTGCGGTTTGAGTCCTGCCTCTGTGTGCCTGACGGACTCTAATCAATGGGTCTAGTCAAGAATCAAACAAATATTCAACGAATGCCAAACAAGACTCTGCACCCAAGCCAGAAAGTGAGACAATGGTGAGCGGACCTTCTCAGACACATGAAGAATCATCCAGAATATTGAACTCCGCACAGTGCAAAGAGCACCGTCTGCCCACTTCGTCAATTTCAGCCTGTATGCCTCTCTGTCGGATTGCGTATCCAATAAATCTGCCGCAGGCTTCTCAGCAGTTTTGCGTTTTCGGCTTTCAGTCGTTGGCGTTGGGTTCTTGTCTGATTTGTCTGCCTTCATATATTTGCTCAGAACAGACAAAAACACAGGTTCCACCAACGCCCGGCCCCTTTCCAAATAGAAAGCTTCGCAATTTTCTATACTTCCCCACCTCCCCGTGATGACTGCAAGTGGAAAACGTCTGTATCGCACGGGTTCTGGAGCGGTTCGCGAAGTGGTCTTGCCAAAGCCGTGGATGCGTTCCCATGCATCGATGAACTCTGCGACATGCGATCTCCAAAAATTGCAACACTTTGCTAAGTTGGCCGCGTATGCATGGAATCCAGCTGTCACATCCGGGTGGGCTTCATGCAACCCCTTCAAAAAGCTGTCGATCAACTGAAGGTCTTCGCGAACAATAAGGTGCAACTGATGCAGCAAGCAGTTTGCATCCAAGTAATACAGGCATTGTAAGTCTGCGACCGCTGCTTTCATCTGACGCCTCCGTGAAGCTTGATCAGGGCCAGCATCGGATGTGTCGCAGAAAACGAAAACGCTGCCCTCTCTGAGCTTCTGTTCCCTGATGCTGAGATTGTTTTGTGACATATGGTCTGGGGTGTGGGAGGGTCACCACTACAACTCTGGCACGGCTCTAGATTGAATGGACCGAAGACCTACAGTAACGACAATACGGCAATGCATTTTTGGCCTATGTCATATTAAACCGTAGTGAGTAGTGTATTGAATGACAAAATACCAAAATACGTCCAGGTACCTGCTCATTTTTGCAATGTTGTGAGGTCCAGGGACACCGAGTGAGGCAAGTTGCTTCAGGACCAATGCTAGCACATCCAAAGCTGTCGCACCAGAGTCTATGATTTGAAGGTCTGACCTGAGCCCGAATCTAACAAGATCCACTAGCAAACTAACTCCGAACCACAAACTGAATGCTCAATGAACTCAATGAATTTTAGCTATGGCTTCAAGCTGAAAACTCAGGGTGGTTCAGTGGTTCACGATTCAACCTTGGTAACTTAGCAGTTCTGTGGCTGACCACGGGTGTACATGAAACTGCGACCGAACAGCACGCAGGAACGAGAAGTCATGGCTGCATGGAAATCACCCTCCTGCAACTTCTTCACATCTGTCAAGTATGTGACTGTAGCCTCGCAAACATGCAGCTTCTTACGGTGCCATATGTTTGTGTTGGTGGCGTCGCTGCGAAATCCGGCTCCGAACAGATTGAAGTTGCAAGCGTCTGCATCCGTCTGGACCTCAACGTCAGCATCATCATTCTCCTTCAGAAACATCGCCAATCCTTCTGCACAAAAGCTTCGAAAGAGAGAAACCACCGCGGCACCAGTAAGGCACTGCGCCCTTAGAACGGTTTGCTTGGATATGTCGTGCATCGACACAACTGAAAAATCAGCGGCGGCAATTGTACACAAACAACTGCGTATGCCCATAGAGAACCTGGATTGTAAGGACCAACGTCCTCCACGGCCTTCCTTCTGTTTGCCCACTTTGGTGAGCTCAAAGCAATTGTGCTGTTCACGTGCCTCTTGCAACAGGCGAATGCTCTTCTGGGATTTCGATTTTGCTGTTGCCAACTGCCTTCCCAAATTGCGAACCTTGTTTTCCAAAAAGCGAATTCGAATATTCCTCTTCGAAAGTTCCAATTGGCTCCGGCAGAGCCTCGTAGCAAGCACGTTGCGGGGCAGCAAGGCCAACTGATGAGGATCTTCTGCCGCTGGAGCTGCTCTTGCAGCTCCACTGCTGCAATCATGCACAGGCGCAGGAAGCGGCAACACCAGTTGATTGCCACCAGGAACATCTTCATCCGAAACTATCTCCACCGCGTCGAGCTGATCGCTACTAGCGGCAGCATCTACAGCAACCATTTGATGTCCCATTTCCGAATCCTCAATTTCAACAGTACCCGACAAGCCAGGTAGCACATCCTCAGGAGAAGTTGGAAAGCCGACCAATTGACCCACTCGGCATGCAAAAACGACACCAACAAACGGTTGGTGCAACGGATTCGACGGCATCGGCTGATTCTGCAGAACAGTGTCCCAAGCTCTACTCACCCTCTGCATGGCTTGCTTTCTTCGCAAGCCACCCGTCGTCAACAAGTCCGCCAGTGTCTCAGTGACCTTTTGTTTCGATACAACTTGTCGCTGCTCAAGAACCAGTGCATTGCTGTGCAGCATGATGCAAAATGATCTCGCAGCCAGCTCAGACATCTTCAATTACTGGAAAATACAGCTACAGGCAACTACAAGCATCCATTCCGGCATCCATTGCAACACGAACACGGTTCCAAGAACTAACTTGTTTTGGACCACTGGAATATGACATCATATAAGGTTTGCTCCGGAAATCTCACATTCTTGATCTCCTATTTCCGGATCTATAGCAAACAACGATCTCAGGAAGTTAGATTGAATGATGATTTTGTCGGACCATATGAGCATCCACGGCGGACAAGATTAAATTAACTTGCACATCTGGGCGCTGAGAGCACCTTGTCTGAAACGCCTGCGGCTGTTGTACACAATATCTGGTGAGAGTCCCGCAACAGTGTTATAATGCAGCCAGTCCATGCCCTTGTGTTAGATGACACAGCCACCCAGGACGTCAACAGAGCATCCCCGCCACGGCACCCAGCCATGTCCGACCCTAGCCAGTGGAACATCTAAATAATGGGATACGCGGCCACACAAT